GTTGGCCATTCCTGCCAGCTTGGTGCCATCTGCAAATTTGATGAGTTCCCCATTTATTCCCTCATCCAAATCATTGATGAAGAGTCCTGGGCCCAAAACAGAGCCTTGGGGTCCCCCACTGCATCCCTCCCTCCATGTACATGTGGTTCCATTGAGGACTACACGTTGAGTGCGGTTGGTCAGCCAGGTACGAATCCATCTGGTGGTGATGGAATCCAACCAACATTCATCTACTTTATCTAGTAGCCGGTTATGGTCTACCTTATCAAATGCCTTACTGAAGTCCAAGTAAACTATATCGACTGCATTCCTCTGGCCCACTAATTTTGTCACATTGTCAAAGAATGCAATAAAGTTAGTCTGGCATGATCTGTTTTTGGCCACTCCTCTCTGCTTTCAGCTTCAACTCTGATCTGCGGATAATCCAGGAAGCAGGAAAAACATTTCCCCCCCCCCAAATCTCAGCTTATCAACCAAATCCCATCAATGGGCCCTCCTGACGAGGAATTAACCTGGACAGGAAACATGGGATTTTTCCAAGGCTGGCTTTGGAAAGGAAGGGGGGGGGGTAGTCTTGCGGGACAATTTGCTCCTGTTCCAGCCGTGGTCACTTCTGGCCAGGAGACGGGCAGAATCCTTGGGTCCTCCAGGGGTCACTTCCCTTCTCGCTTCCCAGCATTGTTCAGCGGAGACGGAGACGTTTCCCCCCCCCCTCAAAGGCCCTTCCTGTTGCTTTGGCCTGGCTGGGCTGGAGGGACACCAGGGGGTCTCCCAGGGAGCACCCCAAAAGAGGCTCCCCTTGCTCAGTTCCAGGGAGCAGGAGAAGGGGGGACACCCACCCACCCACCCACCCAGGGGCTCCATCCTTCCCTTTGGGAAGGAACATTTCAGGGCCTCACCCATCACGGGGGGGGTGGGGAGGTCCAGCTTTTGGCACCAGGTGTAACTTTTGCAGGCGGTCAAGAAAATTCAAAGCGGCAGGGAAAATGTGGCTCGAGGTTGACATGACAGGTCCTTGAGGCTTTCTTGCAGACGTTTCATGGCCCAACTAGGGAACATCATCAGGGCTAGAACGGAGTGGGGTTTGGGAGGGGGAGGAGGAAGACTGATGGATCGTTGGTGCTGAACCTGGTTGCTTTCTTGCAGACATTTCAAGACCCAACTAGAGAACATGATCAGGACTAGAACGGATTGGAGTTTGCTCTCATTTTACATACATATTCTATACATATGTACTTTATGTGTATTGCTCTCATTTTGTTTATAGACATATAGCAATGGCCACAGTTGATTCCCCTGAAATTTGGGTGCAAGTTCATGACCCATTTCCAGAGAAGTCAAATGTTTTGAGCCAGATGAGTTTTTGCAACTTCCTTTTTACCTTTTTAAAATACGGTCATTTAAGCAGCGTTCAATCAACCTGGCCTCCTTCCAAATTTTTCATTTTCGTACACTGTTTTTATAGTTTGTTGACTAGGGCTGGTTTCAACAAACGAGCCCCACCCACCACCCAGGCCNACTGTGGGGGCGATGTGCTGACTCTGTAAACCGCTTAGAGAGGGCTGAAAGCCCTATGAAGCGGTATATAAGTCGAACTGCTATTGCTATTGCTACTAGCCCAGGGGAAGTGGGAGGAGTGAGGAGGGAAGATTGCACCCCCCCACCCTGCCCCTCCCAGAGCCCCCTTCGGCATCTTGGCATCATGTTCCCCCCTTTTTCATTTGCATGGGTTTCAAAGGGAATTGCATTAGCATGATGCTCTGCAGCCCCTCTCTAAGCATCGGCCTCTTGGCCCCAACCATCCGGATCCTCCTTTGACCCACCTCGGAAGGAGGGAAGGCTGAGCCAACCTTTGAGCCAGACAGGATCGAACTGCCGGCAGTGGGCAGAGTGTGCCTGCCGTGCTGCAATCCAGCCACTGCGTCACCAGGGCTCTTAAATGTTTAAAACGAATGTAATCATTTCTATGCCAAGTTTCCTTGGGGTGGTGGTGGTGTTATAGGATCCAGATGTTACATATTTCAAAAGAAGAGGAAGTTCATCAGGTCAGGTTGAACTTTGAACAAACTCCAATGTGGGTCCCTCCACCAAGGAGGAGAGGCCGCTCGGGGGGGGGGGGAAATCCCTTTGCTCCGAGTCTGGCCCCCTTTCATGGAAATACTCACGGGGGCTTCATCCCCGGGACCGAGGACGTACAGGCTGACTTTCAGGTAGCCTCTGGCGCCCACCGAGAAATCCTCCGGGTCCGACAGCAGCAGCCACTTCCGGAGGAAGCAATGCCCTGGGGGGGGGGGAGGGAGTCACATTTATACCCCACAATTCACCCCCCCCCCTCACCGTGTAAAATGGTCTGGTCACTAAATGAACTGTTGTAAATTGAGGACTGCGTCTAAATGGCTTGGAGGTCACAGCCCCCACTTGAACTAGCAAGCCCCATGCAGCCCCCAGCTGGCATTTTGCTGAAGGAATTTCCTTTGTCTTCCACTGCTCTGGGGGGGGGGGGAAATCACAGTGTTTTCACTCCTTTTTTTCTTTCCTTTCCACACTTCTTTCCCCTTTGACTTTCTCCGTTTTTTCTTTCTAGTTGTATGATTTCATCTTATCATCAACGAAGGGCCTCCCACCGTGTTTCCCTGTTCCTTGCTAACGCCTCCCATCCAGTTCTGCCCAGTTCCCAATTTCCACTCACGGGGTTCAGCATAAATTGTCCCAACGTCCACCTGGAAGAGACAAACACAAGGACTCTCAGGCTGGAGCCCCCTCATTCCTCACCCCCACCCACTCACCCAGCACAGACAGTCAGACACCCACCCCCCCGGTCAATGCTCCAACACTGGAAGTTTTGAAGAAGAGACTGGACCGCCATTTGTCTGAAATGCTCTAGTTTTTCCTGCCCGGGGAGGGGGATGGGCTAGAAGACCTCCGAGGTCCCTTCCAGCTCCATTATTCTATATTCTGTCATGTTTCTGTTGATGAGGGTGGCGATTAATTTCCTTTTTCTTTGTGGCAATGTGGCACACAAGACACAGGAAGGAGAAAGGGTGTGATGGCTGCACAAACTTTTCCAACAAAGTTTTCTCTGTAATTATTTGGAGTAGGGGTCCCCAAACTCGGCCACTTTAAGACTTGTGGACTTCAACTCTCAGAATTGGGAGCTGGCTGGGGAATTCTGGGAGTTGAAGTCCACAAGTCTTAAAGTGGCCGAGTTCGAAGACCTCTGATCCAAGTGGAGAGATTGCAAAGAAAGGGATTGCAAGAGAGTAAGCTATGCTGGCTGGGGAATTCTGGGAGTTGAAGCCCACAAGGCTTAAAGTGGCCGAGTTTGGAGACCTCTGATCCAAGTGGAGAGATTGCAGAGGAAGGGATTACAAGAGAGTAAATTATGCTGGCTGGGGAATTCTNGGTTATGGTCTACCTTATCAAATGCCTTACTGAAGTCCAAGTAAACTATATCGACTGCATTCCTCTGGCCCACTAATTTTGTCACATTGTCAAAGAATGCAATAAAGTTAGTCTGGCATGATCTGTTTTTGGCCACTCCTCTCTGCTTTCAGCTTCAACTCTGATCTGCGGATAATCCAGGAAGCAGGAAAAACATTTCCCCCCCCCCAAATCTCAGCTTATCAACCAAATCCCATCAATGGGCCCTCCTGACGAGGAATTAACCTGGACAGGAAACATGGGATTTTTCCAAGGCTGGCTTTGGAAAGGAAGGGGGGGGGGTAGTCTTGCGGGACAATTTGCTCCTGTTCCAGCCGTGGTCACTTCTGGCCAGGAGACGGGCAGAATCCTTGGGTCCTCCAGGGGTCACTTCCCTTCTCGCTTCCCAGCATTGTTCAGCGGAGACGGAGACGTTTCCCCCCCCCCTCAAAGGCCCTTCCTGTTGCTTTGGCCTGGCTGGGCTGGAGGGACACCAGGGGGTCTCCCAGGGAGCACCCCAAAAGAGGCTCCCCTTGCTCAGTTCCAGGGAGCAGGAGAAGGGGGGACACCCACCCACCCACCCACCCAGGGGCTCCATCCTTCCCTTTGGGAAGGAACATTTCAGGGCCTCACCCATCACGGGGGGGGTGGGGAGGTCCAGCTTTTGGCACCAGGTGTAACTTTTGCAGGCGGTCAAGAAAATTCAAAGCGGCAGGGAAAATGTGGCTCGAGGTTGACATGACAGGTCCTTGAGGCTTTCTTGCAGACGTTTCATGGCCCAACTAGGGAACATCATCAGGGCTAGAACGGAGTGGGGTTTGGGAGGGGGAGGAGGAAGACTGATGGATCGTTGGTGCTGAACCTGGTTGCTTTCTTGCAGACATTTCAAGACCCAACTAGAGAACATGATCAGGACTAGAACGGATTGGAGTTTGCTCTCATTTTACATACATATTCTATACATATGTACTTTATGTGTATTGCTCTCATTTTGTTTATAGACATATAGCAATGGCCACAGTTGATTCCCCTGAAATTTGGGTGCAAGTTCATGACCCATTTCCAGAGAAGTCAAATGTTTTGAGCCAGATGAGTTTTTGCAACTTCCTTTTTACCTTTTTAAAATACGGTCATTTAAGCAGCGTTCAATCAACCTGGCCTCCTTCCAAATTTTTCATTTTCGTACACTGTTTTTATAGTTTGTTGACTAGGGCTGGTTTCAACAAACGAGCCCCACCCACCACCCAGGCCGTTACAACACGAAACAACAACGGACACACAGCCAGCACCAATCANGATCCAAGTGGAGAGATTGCAGAGGAAGGGATTACAAGAGAGTAAATTATGCTGGCTGGGGAATTCTGGGAGTTGAAGTCCACAAGTCTTAAAGTCTGATTTGGAGGAACAAAAGGGCTGATTAGGGAAGAAAGGACTTACCCGGAATTCTCCGATGACAGAGTCCGTCCGGAGGGAACGAGAGTCAACAACCTGGAGGGGACACAAAAAATGAGCTTCCACGGAAACAAGGTCTCCTCAGATGCCACCTGACTTGCTGCCCTTTGAGGTGAGCTTAGCATTTGGGGCAAGAACCAACCCTCCTTGTCTGCACCAAGACGGGGGGGGGGAGCTTTCGTGGCCCTCCTACAAGCCCTCGTGAACTTCCAGCCAGGATGGGCAGAGATTTCCCAAGATTACGGGCATCTCACAAAGGTTGGTGAGCTTGCAAAAGATGTCAGAGGATTTGGAGACCCTCAAAAGGAGCCAGTTGATTCCCCCGTTCAAAGGGTGCCAGGGAAAAGAGCAGAACATGGGGATCCGTGAGATCTAGCGCCCCCATAGGCATGAAAGCCAAACGGAGGACTTTGGGCCAATCACTAGGAGAGAGTTCTAGTTCTGCCTTAAGCATGAAAACCGTCTGGGTGACTTTGGGCCAATGACCAGGAGGAGGCAAGTTCTATTCCTGCCTTAGGCTGGGAGCTAGGGGGCTTCCCTCTGTCTCAGCCCAACCCACCTCGCAGGGCTGCTGTTGTGGGTAAAACAAAAGGAGGGGAGGGTTGGCTCTGTTCTTGGTAAAACTAATGAAGGAGGGATGGAAATAAACAAATGGGGAGTGAAATTGGGGGAAACATGGGAATTCTCACAAGCGTGGAATGTGCCTCCCCCGATTACAGAAAGCTGCCTTGGCCTCCCATCATGTGGGTCCCGTGTGACCCCCATGCACCGAAGAGGAACACGTCCCACGCTCCAGGATGCGTTCTCCGTGGGAGGGGAGTCCCCCCCCCCAACCCACTTACCGTGAGAAATATGGGCTGGTCGAAAAGCTCCACGGGGGACTCAAAAACGTTGAAGAAGAAGGTCTGCAGGAGGGAGAGGGAGAGAGAGAGAGAACGGAGGGAGATTCAGCTGCACCCCAAAAACCTTCCCACCAGGGAACTGACCCCAAAGGAAGAGTCACACACAGGCAGGGGGTCCTCTGCCCCACTCACCCCCAAAGTCACCCAAGTTTTAAAAAATCACAGGACGAGTTGGAACAATTCTCACAACCAGGGTTTACAGTGAAGCTCCTGCATGGGGTTGGCCAACCCATTCAGGCACACTGGTTGTGCCCCCCGTGGCTTAACTTAACAACGCTCTTGCTTAGCCACCAAAATGTTGGCTCACAAACTCTGGCATTGAAGTGTGCAAGTCGTAAAGCTGTCAAGTCACGAGACCCTCGCGCCCCTAAACCTTTAAGAGAAAAAATCCCCAGGGGTGTTCAAAGTTGAAAGCTTTAAGACTTTAAGGTTTAGATAGGACTCTTAGAGGCGGGCGGGGCGATTGGTGAGCCAGCCAATCAGTGAGCGTGGTGCGGACAGGCGGGGGGAGGGAGGGAGGTGGAACCGGTTCTAAACGGCACGGTAGATCTGTGGAACCTCTTCTAGAGAAGAGCTTAGAACCGGCAGGAAGCCACTCCTGGTTCAAAGTGACAATAAAGTTATTCCAAGTTCTGAATCTTTCCTCACCTCATCAAAAAAGGGACCGTTTCCTTTCCGGATGCGGGTTCTCTTGGTCTGCCCCACCGCCGTCACCTTCACCACAGACTTGAGGTTGACCCCAGAGAGCTGCCTGCCTTCAATGACTCGCACCCGGATCTAGAAAGGGGAAGGGCAGGGGGAGGAGGAAGAGAAGAGGCCATCAAGGTCTCAAGGACAGAGCAGTGGGGCCCTGCCGAGCCCTCGCCTCAAAGCAGAAAGGGAAGCAAAGAGGTCCCAAGGCCCAGAAGAGCCACCAGGAATGGAAGCGAGAGCCTTGGAGGTCTCTCCGCTCTGCGCTTGGGTTCCAGGTCGGATGTTTGCCTCTTTCCCTAGCCAAAATCCACGGAGTTTAGCACATTTATTTGATCCAAAGAGTGGGAAATATCTACAGATCGGGGTTGAAGTGTGGGGCCCTTGGTGCTCTCTGAGCCGGGTGGTTTTCTTGCAGAGGCTCCATGACCAAACTAGAGAAAATCATCATGCTAGAAGGGAGAGGGGTTTGCAGAGAGGAGGAGGAGGAGGAGGAAGGAGGAGGAGGAGGAGAAAACCTTTTTTTAAAAAATTAGCATTTTTTGCTACCGGTTCAGGCAAACTGGCCCGAACCGGTAGCCTTTCACCCCTGGCTTGAGGTTGGTCACCTGGAAATCCTGGGGTTTGTTGGAGAGAAGCTTCCGGGAAGTGCTTTTCCTTCTCCTGCTTGCGGGAAGAACATGAGACGGGGGCCTTTTGGGCAAGGAAGGCTGATCGGGGGCAGAGGGTCTCGCAGATGGCTCGGCTTCCTCTTCAGTGCCCAGCTGGTCCTCACTGTCTTCTTCTCCCCCTGTATCTGTGGAGGAGGAGGAGGAGGAGGAGGAGGAGGANCGGTTCCAAAAATATTCTTGCAGTCAGAAATTGGGGGTGGAGGGAAGTCAGAGCAAAGGATTTGGTCCCTGTGCTAGCTGAACGTGACTCGCTTAACAACCGTTCTTGCTTAGCAATACAAATTCTGATCCCAATTGCGGTCGTCAGAAGGGGATTGTGGGTAGGAATCCCCGTAGCTGCACAACCTATCAACAAAAGTTGCCGCCAAGAAGAAAGCAACATTCCCAACAATGCTGACAAGGCAGGGCCCCTTGGGTGCAAATAGAGAGCGCACACCCCTCCCTTCTAGCCCTGATGATGTTACTTAGTTGGGTCATGAAACGTCTGCAAGAAAACCACCAAGCTCAGAGAGCCCCAAGTACCCCCCCAGTCCTTTGCGTCATGCTCCTCCTCCTTGCAAACCCCTCTCCCTTCTTAGTAGAAGCCCCTCAAACCCTGGAAGGCTGCTCTCATGTCCCCCTGCTCCTTTTTTCCTCTGGCCAAACCCAAATCCTGCCACCGTCCGTCTGTTTTGGTCTCCAGGCCTTTCAACCTCCCAGTTGCTCTTCTCTGCACTTTCCCCAAAGTCTCAACCTCTTTTTTTTGTCCTGTGGGGAGACCCAAACTGGATGGAGGGTCCTGGAACCCCTTGATTACAGGTGGATCTTGGATGGTCAAACTGGCCTTGCCTGAATTGGAAGCCGGTGGTTGGAGAGGGTTAACTCAGCTCATCTGGCAGTCGCTCCAAATTCTATCTTGGGCTGCTCTTGCGTGTGAATGTTTCCTTCGGCCAGCCCATAAATTAAGCAAAGCGTCTCAGCTCCAGCCGAAACACGCAGAGCCCCTCGGAGGTTGGGCCAAGCACCTTGGCCAACGCCAGCCGGACGCTGCTGGAACACCCCAAAGGAAAAGGAAGTGACTCCTAAATCAGGACCCCAGAACAATAGGAGGGTCTCCAGGGCCAAAGGCTGCTGGAAGGTCCGTCTGGGGCAGCTGCAGCCGGACCCTCCCCCGCTCCTTCCCTTCCTTCGTCTCCCCCTCCCCCTCTCCTCCCAGTCCAGCAGCTGAACTGAAGGCAGTGACTATATATGGTCACTCTGCGGCGGCCGTTCCCAGAAGAGACGAAGAGCAATGCCTGTTTAAAAGGATTTGCAGAAAGGGAAGGGAACAGAATGGGGTACAATGGGGTAGGATAGGAAAGGATAGGCGGATGCCGGCTGGGGAATTCATGGAGCTGAAGTCCACAAGTCTTAATGTTGCCACATTTGGAGACCCTTCCTGGTCTGACCCCATCCTGCCTCCCTGATCAATGTATGTTGTTGTTGTTGTTACTATTTCATAGTTTCATTCTTCTTTCAATAACTCTTGGACCCACTCAGAAGGCTCCGATTCTAAGGCAGATCAAAAAGAATGAAATCAAACTCTCCCCAATGTGACGAGAATAGAATGGAACAGAACAGAACAGAATGGAACAGAACGGAATAGAACAGAAATAAGAATGAAAGGAATAGAATAGAATAGAATGGAATGGAATGGAATGGAATGGAATGGAATAGAATAGAATAATGGAACGGAACA